ACCAATGTCATAAAACAACATGTGTACTACTGTTTCATGAGAAACTATTTGTTCTGTAAGCCTTCACCTGAAGTACAATAAAATATTAAAAAAAAGAAAAAAAAAATAGTCTGTTCTTGTGTTGTTAAACACACTTCTACAGTAGGTACTTTTGAGTTTGTGTTCTTTTATGTGCCAAGTGACTGTGCTAAGTGCTTTATATATATGATCCCATTTAATCCTTGTTGTTAGCTGCTGTTGAGTTGGCACCCAACTCATGGCATCCCCATGTGTGACATAGTAGAACTGCTCCATAGGGTTTTCTTGGCTGTAATCTTCCGAAAGTTCACATCCTTGAAAACCCTATGGAGCACAGTCCTACTCTGCCAAGGTGGGATCGCCATGAGTTGGAATCGACTCAGTGGCAACTAACAAAAAAAACAACAATCTTTATGAAAGCCGATTACCAGGACTTTTCTTCTGTGGAGCTGCTGGGTAGGTTCAAACCACCATCCTTTTGGTTAGCAGCTGATTGCAAACTGCTTGTGCCATGCAGGCTCCTAATTCTTTGTTACTCAGGAAGAAACTGAGTAGTTAAGTCAGCTTGTCCAAGGTTGAACAGCCGGTAAGTAGCAGAGCTGGAACTCTGATACATTCGAAGCTTGTACCCTTAGCCACTATACTCTTCATACCAGGGTTCAGCAAACTTCCTCTATAAAGGGCCAGAGAGTAAATTATTTTAGGCTTTGCATGCCATGTGGTCTCTGTCACAATTACTCAGCTCTGCTGTTATAGCGCAAAGGCAGCCAGAGAGCCACAGTGTATAAAAGAACGGGTGTGACTATGTTCCAGTAAGAAGCCCTCGTGGCGCAGTGGTCAAGTGCTCGGTTACTAACTGAAAGGTTGGCGATTTGAACCCACCAGCAGCTCTGAGGGAGAAAGATGTGGCAGTCTGCTTCCATAAAGGTTTACAGCCTTGGAAACTCTATGGGGCAGTTTTACTCTGTCCTATAGGGTTGCTGAGTCAGAATCGACTCGATGGAGGTGGGTTTGGTTTTTTTGGATGTTCCAATAAAACTTGATTTATAAACAGGCCTGCTGGCCATAGTCTGCCAATCCTAATCTAGATTCGATGAGCCTCATGGCACAAAAAAGCTAAGTGTTTGGCTAACTGAAAGGTCTTCAGCTGCTCCGTGGGAGAAAACACCTGGCAATCTGCTCCTGTAAAGATTACAGCCTAGGAAACCTTATGGGGCAGTTCTACCCTGTCATATAGGGTTGCTATGAGGTGAAATCTACTTGACGGCACACAACAACAACACCACCGATCTGGACTGAAGCTTGGAGGAGGGTGTGTAAGATGTGTTTATCCTGCAGCAAAAGCTCTTACAGGGCCATGGCTATGACTTTTTCACTTGTTTTAGATTAGCTGAGTGTGGATGTATTTTGTTACCAAAGAACCAGTATTACTTAGAATGGGTTGCGTGTCCAGTTCTTCAGGATTTCAGAGTCTAGTTAGGGAAACAAGATTTATTTATAAGAACTCAGTAAAGATGCAAACCCCTATGGGTACTGAAGTGGGTGCTACAGATTCTAAGTGCTTCAGGAAGAACTTAAAGGATGGGTACTATTCAAAAGAATGATGGAACTTCATCAGCCATGAAGCACCCAAAAAAGTAAATATTTCCTAAGTATTCACTATGTGTCAGGCATCATGTTAAATGTCACACATATGTTATCTGTCATAGTCTACAAAATAATCCTGTGAGTTTGGTCCTAAGACCGAGAGAAGTTATGTGACTTGATCATGGTCCTACAGATAGGATGTGTCAGAACTGGGATTTGAACTTGGGTAGATGGACTTTCGAGTATGGGCTCTTGACCACAAAACTGTGTTTTCCCCCCAAGACAGAGCCAGACTGTAACCAAATAAAAGGGAGCTAAGAGGAAAACACAATGATTGATGTTTAATTGGTCAAAACTACCGGGTTGTTTCTTCCCCTAATATGGCTATTTCAAAATGTATTAGAAGTTGTTTTCTTTTTCTATAACTTTCAGCTTTATCAGGGAATGAAATGTTTTGTCATTAAAGGACAGAGCAAACAATAGTTGGTAATCCATCAATCACAACATGTAGGCTTCTGAGAGCAAAGGCAGCCCTGATGCTCTTGTTGTTGTGTGCTGTTGAGTCGACTCCAACTCACAGGAACTCCAGTGCACTGCAAGGTATTAGCTTTTGTATCTGTGTTGGGAGGGAAAAAGCACCCCTGCCTCCTGGGCTGCTCTGAACGGTGCTGACTTACCATCATATTCTGGGAAGTAGTCAACTAGGTGGGAATACATAATTTTCTCCTCTAGAAGATCTTTCTTGTTTAAGAACAGAATAACCGAGGAGTTCTGGAACCAAGGGTATGTGATAATTGTCCTAAAGAGTGCTTTGCTTTCTTCCATTCGGTTCTGGAAAAAAACAAAATAAACAAAGGAGTGAATTATGAGATTCCTTAGTCTGTGAATCGTGTTTATTTCATAAGTCCAATGCACCTTCTGTATGCATCCAATTTTTGTAGCCTGAGGCTGGGCTGTAGTAGGTTTTATCATGAATTATATGCAAGTAATTCATTATATATTGGCTGTTTCCATTGTACAAACTCTCAGGTTGACATGCAGAAGAGAAAAATAATAATAACTATGATCTGCTGAAATAACTCTTAAACCTGAAAGAAAAAATAATCAAAGCCTAGAGAATCATGTTGTATCTGGCACACTGTGACAAATTTCCACCACGAATTTTCCATTCATGATTAAATACTTAAGATCTGAATTAAAGACTGGACACCAGGCTTCATTTTGTTTCCTATATTTATTTGGGCCTACACAGTTAGCTCATTTTAAACAATCCTAACAAAGTTAATTATTTACCCAAAGCACATCTATATTTCTATAATTATTGCCACCTACTATATAAATATAAATCAATCAACCAGCCAGTTAATTCTCTGGTAAGCAAAAGCATGGAAAAATAGTTTTATATCATACATTTCCTGTTCACCAGAGCACACAACTTTCTCCCTATGTCTCACTCTAATTTTCATACAGAATTGTGGTGATATATATATTAATTACCTGGAGATACAAAGGTTACACATCTTCAACATCTGTGAGCGTTTTTACCTAAAGCCACACTTTCAAGCCTACCTTGGTAACAGAAAACCTAAATGGATTCTCCAGGAAATTCACCAGCTTGCTCTTATAAATGAAGACACTAATAAGTCAAAGCACTCCTCTCAAAAAAATGTATTCATCAGCCAGAAGCGCAAGAGCCTCACCTCACAGCCTCTTCTATACTTGCTTATCAATTCTCCCAGAGCTGGATTACCCAATAAGCAAGGTATGCATGTGCCCAGCTGTGCCTTTCCACCAATCTGCAGTGCACAATTTCTCCTGTCACCCACCATGTCAAAGATGTGGTGAAACCCATGTGAAATTGCTCACAGACTAGCAAGTAAATACAATTAATCCCATGTATACCTTGCTCAATGCAAACTGGTGCATACCTCGTTTACTGGTTAATTCGCCCCTGGCTCCCTCCTCCACCGCCCCCCCACCCCCATACACTCCTCTCCAAATCATTACCACCTTCAGGTCACAGATAAAGGCAGCATGTTTTGGGGATTCTCCTTTCCCCAAGGATATAAACGGCATGGTGCAAGGACACACTTCTTCCTGGACACACAGCAAGACAACACTTTCGTCCCTTTGCCTAGTTCTACATGTCATGACTGAGTTCTGGGCAATGGAAACGGCTGCATGGGACTGATGTCTGCACCTCCATTACTAGTGTGCGGCTCAGTGGTTTAAACCGAGTACCGCATCCCCTAGCACAGGGACTGGTTCAGGGCTGGGCTCTGAATCCAGGCCCCAGCCAATCAGGGCAGGCCATTCTCTGGCTTACGGTAATCAGGTCAGCTGAGCAATTAACCCTGGGACTTGTGCTGGGAACTCTGGGACAGGGAACCTTGCTTTCATGAAGAATGTGAAAGAGACATCATGTACAATACTCCCAGGAGCTTCTAGAAGCCACTTTGAAACCACAACATGGATACCTGGAGGCCAAGCAGCCAACACTGATGAGTCTGAGCTGAGAAACTGAGAGAAGAAACCAGGTCCTGCCCATATCACTTTAGTTGCTTGGTCAAACAATGTCTGAACTTGGCCATGCCTCTGGATTTTTTTTTTTTTTAATTGTATTTTATTTTTAAAAAAATTCTTTGTGGTAAATTATCTATAACAAAAAGTTTGCCACATTAACCATTTCTAAGTGTATGATTCAGTGACATTAATTACATTTACCATGTTGTGCAACCATTACCACTATCCATTTCCAGAAGTTTTTCATCACCCCAAACAGAAACTCAGTACCCCTTCAGCAATAACTAGTACCCTTTATTTTTTTGAAGCTCATTTGGGCTGGGTTTTTCTGTTTCTTATTATATAAAATATATCCAGTTGAGAGACCTGGATATGTTTTCCCCCAAACTTATAAAAGGGAATGAATGAAAGATGCTTGAGGGATGACTATTATGACTCTGGGGTCAAGCTGTAATATATTCTGCTCAGATTCTGCCACATTTCGCAGTGCAGGCTTAACGATGGTCAAGCACGCTCCTCTGCATAAAGCTCTGTTCCAAGCCACCTCCAGGAAAACCAGCTGAGCAGTACAATCTTTTAGATCCTGTCTATACCTTATTTGTTTCTTCTGTAAAGTACGCCAAGCCAAATCCACTTGAAAGGGCATACTTTTCAAAAAGCACATCTCTACCAAACCTGGTAAAGCTGATCGTTACCAATGTCTTCAACCTTTCAGTTTTGTGCCTACAATTGCTTACAGAATTAAATACTGATGAAACATGTGAGACTGATCTATTGAACGATTGTTTCACAGCCGATGGCATATTTATTTCACTGCATTCATTTCTCTTTTACATAAATGACATGTACAGCCTGTAAAAATATCTTTTCTATCTACACACCTATAGCCATTTACCTGATTATCATAGCTATATAGTGGTAACATTTTCGGTTCTGGAAACAACATTCCCTGAGAAATGATGCCTAGCAGCTTGAGATTTTTATAGGTTTAAAATTTCAGGACTGAGGTGAAGCAAGGTCTTAATAAGAACTGAAAGAATGAAAAAGGAATCTAAAGAAAGTTAGACAGTGGCAACCCTGGTGGGAGCTTGCTTTTTTTCCCCTTACCTATAGCTAGAGAAATGCTAGAAAGTTGCACTTTGGTCTTCGAAGAAGACCTGTCCAAAGCGTAGGCATGCACCAAAGGTGCAACTAGGTTATGGCAGGCATGACAGGTATTGCACCGACCCCAGGTGCATGGCGCCACTGAGCAGTTTCTATTAACTCGGTATGGCCAGCGGCACATCTATGGAAAATGGCGCTCTCGGCAAGCACTGAAACTGTGCCCCTGTCCAAACATCTGATACCCCTCTTTGAGATAACTTTACCATAATATCAGCTAAAAAATACAAGTCAAGCTTGTCAATCTTTTAATTAACACATTACTGTGCTTCAGGAGGGACGTTAGCCCATACTGGCTTAATAGAAACTGCTCAGTGGTACCAGATGCCCAGGGTCAGTGCAATACCCTAGATAAACCACTGGTGTGCACACCTTGGCATCAACTGGTGAGTCTGCATTAGAAAGATTTATCATTATATTTAGCATTTTCCGGAAGGGGTATGATGGACTCCCCAAGAGTAGGTGTCCTATTTGGGCCCTTTGCTGTTGAAATCCTTAAAAGGTAATTCTTGGGGTTAATACAGAAAGAGGTGCCTGAGGTCTCTCGGATGAAAAGTATCAAGACTAGTCTGAGGCCTCTTACCAGCCTCCAGGACAGTGGCCAGGAGAGCAGACTGAACCCAGCACCGTGTCCCAGAAATGACTTGTGTAGGTGATCGTCCCTCTGTGTGCAGTGCTGCTGGTTAAGGACACTGGAGGCACAGCCGCTGGAGTGACCTGGTTCCACTGAAGCTTTGCCCTGTATGCAACTTGGGCTGCTCTTGGCTACTTTTCCGCTTAGCACGTGCCCATGGCCTGAGGCTTGAGCAGCCTGGGGCTTGGGCTTCTAATTCAGGGGAAAATTAGAGAGCCAAGCTTCTCAAAGTGGACAGCTGACCCAGCATCAGCATCTCCAGGCCCTCAACCAGGCCCGCCAAATTTAATTACTATGGCGGGGGTGGCGGGCAGGAATGGGTGTTTTAACAAGCTTTCTAGGTGGCTCTGGTGCACACTAAAATTTGCGAAGCATGGAACTGGCGCTGGGCTTCTCAAACTTTAACGTGTTTATGAACCACCTGCGGATCTTGTTAGAATGGGGATTCCAATTCGGCATGGGGCAGGGACTAAGGTTTTACATTTCTAACAAGCTCCCAGGTGAGGCTGGTGCTGCTGACTCACAGACCACACTTGGAGTTGGAAGGTGCAGAAAGCTTGTTGATGAGCCAGGGACAACAACGAGCGGGAGGTGAGGCTCTGTGCCATTTATGCGCTAAGAAACACACACAAACACCTACAGCTCAGTGTCTGAGCCCTTCGATAAAAATCTAACTGTGACAGCTTCATTCTTATTGTTCTTCCCAATTAAGATGAATGAAGACCTTTTTATTGTGCTTTAAATGAAAGTTTACAATTCAAGTTAGTTTCTCATACAAAAATTTACACACACAGTGTTATGTGACCCTAGTTGCTCTCCCTATACTGTGACAGCACACCCCTCTTTTCCACCCCGGACTTCCCGTCCATTCAGCCAGCTCCTGTCCCTTTCTGCCTTCTCATCTCACCTCTGAACAGGAGCTTCCCATTTAGTCTCATGCATCTACTTGAGCTAAGAAGCACATTCCTCACGAGTATGAATGAAGATTCTTTATGTTGTATGATTTGTTTTTCACTCTGCAGTGGAAATTCTTTATGCCTTTTCTTCTCCCCATGGGAGAATATTTACAACCAGATATGCTCTGTATCAAAGCACCAGGACTAAATCCTCACAGGAAAAAAAAAAGAGAGAGAGACAGGGAGAGGGAGAGATGTTTATGGTATCTCACAGGTAATGGAACATGCAGAATGTAAGGCATAATCGACTCCACTCAGTTAAGTCGAAATCTATGAGGGAGCAGTGTGTCTCAGGAGACTTTATGGCCTTTGTATCTCAAGTGTATGCTTCAATCTACCAGTTTATGAGGCTTCAAGGAAGAAAAGAAAATAGCAACGTGAGAGACATGTGTATGACCAATGACAAAACAGCAATGAAGCTTTGTTCACCACGGAAGAAACAGTTAAAGGAAGTTGAGGGGGCAGTGGTGCTAACACTCACCCCTCCATCACTTGGAAGTTTTAGCCAGACGGGAAACATACAAGAGGAACCAAAGAGAATACTTATTACCAGTTGC